TAATTTTCAGTCAAATTTTACTTAAAACTTTAGTAAAAAAAAATTAGAAGCACTAAAAAAAGTGATAATTTTTCATTGAAAATTAGTGAATATACCTACAAATATAAATCAGTGGATCAATAATTAAAAATTTAGATTTAAACAATAAAATAGTAAAAGTGATAAAAAATTAATTTTCCACAAAAAAAAAGGAACATTTCGAATGAATGACTATTTGCTTTTGAGAATTAGACTGATAAATTTCATAGAAAAATACAGAAAAAGAAATGTCCTTTATCAGAGGAGCGATTAAAAAAAAGAGAAGCGCGTAATTGTATTGCTATATATATATTACGTAGAATTATTATCTATATACATGTGTGTACTATAATACCGCACTATTGTTGATTTCCATGCCGCCAAGCTTATCGTCTCAACTGCAATGTAGCCGTTTGCATGCATTTTCTGATAAACAAATAATTAGCATTACAAGTAACCTGCATTCTCTTATCGGTGAATCGCTCCTCCTTGCTCGAGTACCTCCCTGCGTTAAATTTCGCAGAACTCAAACTATATTCCATACTATCAAATTTTAGACATCTATTATATCCTCCTATATAGTATAAACAACAATATTCGACAATTGAATCGAAATAAAAAATAAGTCAATGCTTAAATATTTGTTTTGACAAAAATTCGGTTCGGTTTTCCAATTATTTAGTTATATAAATGTAGAATTGTTTACTTGCATAATTGAACAATTATCCAATAATTAATTAATAAAAGTATTAAACAATTGTTTAATTAAATCATTTTTTAAACATATTAATTTATAATTTTTTAATTACCAAATTCAAAAATTGTTTAATAATATTCTTAGATAAAAATTAAAAATCCAATTCTGCTTTTAAATGTAGTCTTATAATTTTTTACTCATTTTTAAGGATCTTGTAATTGTAACCCGTATAAGCATTAGTAAATAAATATAAATGAATGAAAAATATAAATTCGCATTTAGTGGAGGCGTTAAAAAATCGAAAATATATATATATATATGAAAACTATACACGTCAGCTGTGGTTAACCTCGAGTGCCAGTCAGTGGTTACTCTTTTCCGTTTACCTCGTTCGCACCCTCGCATTGTCAGCTTTCGTCAGTCTGTCAGTCAGTCAGTCATACGCCGGCTCTATCCCCTCGTTTTCACCCGCACACAGCTGTCACGTTCTGTTAACATTCCAAAAAATCCCTCAAAAAAAAAGAAAAATGGGAAAAAAACGAGAAAACCACAAAAGAAAATCTCTAATTCTAAATTCATAAATAAAAATGATCTAAACATCAATTTTTTCATCACCACTTTAGATATCTAAAGATTTTTCAAACCAAAGTGATATTCAACTCCCCTGTTCCCCTTAAATTTGGTAATGAATAAAAAATTGAAAACTAAAAGTACTAAAAGTATTATAAAAATACTAAAGAATAAAAATAGTAAAAATATTAAAAGTAGAAAGGCACAAATATAGTAATAGTATACATAAATAGTAAAATAATAAGCATATAAATACTAAACAATTTCTATTAAAGTGAGAAAGAATATCTCCAATCCCTTAACACCCAAAATATATCTCGCCCTAAAAATCATAAATATGCACATAAATAAATATAACTTTACGGTTAATGATAGTTCCTAGAAGAGATAGAGAGAGAAAGAAAGAGTGAAGAAAGAAAGAAATGGTCAAGCTCCCTGGTTTTAATTTATGCGCGCAATGTTGCCCAGAGCGTTATTAGTTCTAGTTGGATATACGTTGGGCGTGACGTCACGCGGCTAAAACAAAGGATCAAAACCCGCACCCATTCCACTTTAACTCGCCGTCTTTTAACTCTGCCGACATCTATAGACTCTTTCTCTTCAAGATATATAAAAGCTGCATAGTCAATCTTAGTCATAATTTTCGTTCGGCACTTTACTCATCTAGTAGCTTTACTCACATATACATACATATATGTATATATACGCAAGGTGATCATCCTTCTTTAGGCGCCATTGATAGTTAAACTTAAAATGTGTTTTACCTTCACCAATACTATTTTCTATTACATGATTTATCGTTTCTTCATTCTCAAAATCCATATTTCTCAACCAAAAAAAAAACATATTTATATTTTGGTACATGATGGTTTTTTATGGCGAATCATTTAGAACAAAGTTTAATTTTATAGCCTTTTTCTGCGCTATAAATGAGGGAAATATTTAAAAAAAGAGTTGCGAGGGAGGATATTCAATATTTATACTTGATTTATGAAACTGAATGCATAAAGGGTGATATTGTGTGCGGCAATAATTAACATTATAGGCTCAAATAGGGTATAGAGTATTTTGCAAAACTGTCGACTTTAAGACGCCTCTTCGTTTTCACAATTTCTCTTTTTGAGAAAGAGGGAGAAAAATAATTGTCGACTGATCAATATCACCTGTCTTGTTCATCTCATTAACTTATTTGTAATCCGATTTTCTCTTTTTCACTATATTTCTCCAGACATATTAAATTGACAAATTGATACCGAATTGCATCAAATTGATACCGAATTTCATCAAATTGATACACACGAAATTGCATCAAAATTGATACCAAATTGAATCAAATGGACACAAAATTTAACCACATGCGATTTGTACCAACTGATGCTGATGATTTAGAACCAAAAAAAACCACTTTCGGTTTTTTGTTTTCGGTACAATTCTATGACTGCATGGTCATACTGACAATTAGAGAATTAATAATTCCCCGCCGATCGTTTTGCAATTTATTGAAAGGCGGCATTTCCGGGAGTCCAATTGAGAGATGTCGCGTTGTCTCCTGAGGGGTTTCGTCGCATTGTTCATCCGGATCAATACCTACCTTTCCTCTATCTATATATATACATATACATACACTCGGCGAGTTTCAGAGGGCGTGGCTCGTTTCAGCAACCGTGATACGCACTCCCTCTTCCCCGAAACTCCACCTTTTCCCACAGTCTGAATATCTAGGGAGATTTTGCTTTCATTCCTTATCCAAAAGGGGGATGCTTTGCAAGCTCCAAAAGGCCAATGAGCAAGCGCTGGAACTCATCTCTTCCCAACAACACACACTGTAACCTAGATTCAGATCTTCTTACATCTGCCCAGTGTTTCCATTTTTTATTATTCTGTAGCTTTGTCTTCAATTCAATAAAGATTTTTAGCCATCTGTTTCAATTTTTAGTGATAACACGCAAAAGAATAACCTTCACTTGAAGGATCTCGCTTTTCTTAATTAAAAATTTTAACAATATACAGCAACTTGTAATTGTTCCAGGTAAAGCTTTTTCCTGTAGCATCAGCAAGTATCTTTAGTGATCCGTATCAGTTAATAATTATCGTAGTCAGCATCAATAAGTACTTTCTGATGTCAGTATAGCAACAAGTATACTTTCTGTAATCCGTATCATTAAACATTTTTTGTATAGTCAATAAACCCTTTTTGCAAACAGCATCAATAAACACTTTTTGAAATTAGCATCATTAAATATACTTTTTGCAATCAGTATCAATAAACACTTTTAGTAATCAGTATCAATAAACGTTCTTTGCTATCAGAATCAACAAACACTTCTTGCAATCAGTATCAATAAACCCCTTTAGTGGAGAAAGAAGAAGTATCAATCCGTCCAAGTCAATAGTAAAACCAAAAAGCTTCCGTAACAATCCGTATTGCACCTGAAATTAATAATCCGCAGAAAAACTGTACTGAAGTAAATCATTATCATGTCAATTAAACTCGACATTAACATAATGAGTATAGTAAAAAAGCAATTTGCGAAAGCGAGTTGCGTGATTGTTTCGAATTCAATACTGGATATATAATAATTCCCGCGCCATATTGTGAATTGAGAAATACTGTTTAATTCCAATAAAACTCGTTTCCCTATATTCTCGATTCGATTCGTAAAATCCCGACCTGTTTTTTGTTGAATAAGGGTGTCCGTGTAGGTTGTCTTTATATCCGTGTTGGTGCGACATTGGACCTTGTGGGGGCGTGTCGCCTCGATGGCGCCGGCTGCTAATGGCCGCGGGCCGCCAGACTTTAATTTCCTGCTGCTTCCGCGGACCCTTTGCTTTTACCTTTCTGTTCGAAACCACTTGGCTCTCTCTCTCTCACACACTCTCTCTCTTTCTCCTTTCCTCTTACAACACTCTCTCCCTGTTTCCCCTTTTCTCTTACAACACTCTGTCTCTCCTTCTCTGTTACACACACACTCTTCGTCATGTCCCCATGTTTTTTGGTAGTCACTGTGGACAATCTTGACAATTTTCGGTTCATAGTTTTCTTCCTGAGAATCGTGAATTTGCATGAAACTGAATTTAGTGTGAGGTAGTATGAACCTAGAAAAGTCACCTATAAGGGAGTTTAAACCCTTTTGAAACATGGATGCAGCGGTCAAGTGAGGGTTCTTAAAGTTTCGATTTGCATGAAAGTGCCTTGTCGATGGGGTCAGTTGACCTGCCTCGGGTTCCATTACCTCAAGAAGCCAATCTCTTCAATCTTTCTCTTTCTCTCTGTCTCTTTCTCTCTCTAGGCTAGGAGTGCACCAATTTTGTGTCATTATGCACCCTCGGGGGAGTACTTTTGCTTTTTCGGGACCCTGAGAACAAGGACTTTGCCGCAGTCATTTTTTTTCTCCTTAACGATTTCGACGCAATTACGGGAACCTGCCTACCTACCTACATATACTGATATTAGCGAGATGCTTTCGGTAACCTTAGAGGTTCTTGCTTATTTCTTTTTATTTATTCGGTCCTGATTATAATTTATTTTGAATTATGTAAGATTGGAATAATTAGACTGATGATGATGATGGAAAAATTTGAGCTTGGAAGTAATTTTCGGATGCTGCTGTCCAAAGTTGAAAAGTGGAAAATTGCTCACTCTTTGGATAGCAGAATCTAGAATTGTATTTGGTATGTCGGGAGATTCTATAATTGGTGTATGTTCTTGTTGCAGGATCATCCGGGACTGAGGGGCACACCCTTGGCGATGCTGGCGGCGCAATGTAACAAATTGAGCAGCAAGAGTCCCCCGCCGTTGGCGGACGCAGCGGTAGGAAAGGGGTTCCACCCCTGGAAAAAGAGTCCACAGAGCAGCGGGAGTTCACCGCAACACACGGGCGGAAGTGGCACCGGATGCACGACGACTGGCGTCACGCAGAGACCGACAGCGACAAGCAGCGCCGGGAGTACCGGTGGCTATGCCCGAGCACCGGTCACCTCCTGCGCCTCCACCGCGCCGCAATACGGTAGCGATCTCTACTTCCCCGGCACGGCGAGTGCCCAGCCCGCCAGCGATCCACATCACCACCAGAGCAGCATCCTGGGCAAGGTGGAGGGCGCGACCCTGGGCTCCGTCTACGGCCGACATCCCTACGAGTCCTGGCCCTTCAACACCATGCCAGGCGCCACGCACGGCGGCATCAAGGCCGGCGACGGCTGGTGGGACGTGCACGGAGCGGCCACCGGCGGCTGGCTCGACGTCAGCGGCACCGTGGGCGTCGGCGTCCACGCCGCCCAAATGGCCAACTACTCAGCCGACTACTCCAGCCTGGCCCTGGCCGGCAACCACCTCCTCACGTCGGCCACCACCGCCGGCCACAACCTCCTCCAAGACACCTACAAGTCGATGCTCCCGGGCGGACCGCCCGGCTTCGGACTCCATCACCACGCGGCTGCCACTGGAGGCGGCGCTGGCAGTCCCCAAGGCGGCGGCACCGGCGGCGCCAACGTGAGCCAAGCCCCATCGCCCCGCTCCCAGAGGCGCTACACCGGACGAGCCACCTGCGACTGCCCCAACTGCCAAGAGGCCGAGCGACTGGGACCCGCTGGCGTCCACCTCCGGAAGAAGAACATCCACAGTTGTCACATACCCGGCTGCGGCAAGGTCTACGGGAAGACATCTCATCTTAAGGCCCACTTACGGTGGCACACTGGTGAGCGACCGTTTGTTTGCAACTGGCTTTTCTGTGGCAAGCGGTTCACACGTTCGGATGAGTTGCAGCGACACCTGCGAACCCACACCGGCGAAAAGAGATTCGCCTGTCCGGTCTGCAACAAGCGGTTCATGCGCAGCGATCATCTCGCGAAGCACGTCAAGACCCACAGCAGCAGCAGCAGCAGCGGCAGCAAGGGCAAGGGGGGAGCGGGGAGCTCGTCGGCCGAGTCCTGCTCCGACAGCGAGGACAACGGGAGTCAGCAGAGTCCCAATTCCAACTCGGTGCCACCGCCCCAGTCACAGGGTCCTCAGGGCCTAGTGGCGCAGGGAGCGGGGGGCCAGGACACTCAGAACAACACCAGTCTGTCGCATCAACCGACAACGCCCATGACCCCAATGCAGATGACCCCACCGCCTCTAACCCCACACCATCCCCACCACCCTCATCTCCCGCCTCTAATGCACCATCCGCATCATCACGCAACCTCCGTACCACACCATCATCCACACGCGGGGATGAGCATGCACTGAGCCCGGTGGGGCCCGGAGCCGGTGGCTGCAATAACGGTTCAACGGCACTGGGCTCCCCCCTATCCTACCCCCTAAATCTCAATCTCCTCCACCATCAGAATCACTCCCTTCACAATCAACAACTACACCTTCATCATCACCATCATCCCCACCATCATCAACAACAACAACAACATCACCACTCCCAACACCAGCAGTCGCGTCAAAACAACTCCTACACGGTTTCGCAGAATCCCGGCAATCCTGGCACACCAGGGACCGCGCAGACTCCCTCACCGTCGTCCCCGCCGCCTGTACATAGTCTCTAGGCCGACACCTCCCCGTGCAACCCCCAGCACTTTCATCTACCAATCACCGATCGTTAACGTGTAAATACTTATACATAGTGAGCGCGAGAGAGAATACGAAATGATAATATTATATTGAGGCGATATAATATTGTACAAAGAGAAAGAGTTATTGAAAAACAAAGAAAGAAAAAATCGCAAAAAAGAAAACTTGTGCACTAAGACACTGACTCTTATCTTCAACACCCAAATCTATGAAAGTTGATCTTGCTAAGCTCCTTTATTAGTTATTCGAAATAGTTGGTTCTGTTCATTATTCAGCAACTCTTTTCTCATTATCTATCTCAAAGACTTCTAAATTTTACTTCTACTTTTTTTCAGCAAATATTTCTCATTTTTATGAAAATTGCTATATACGAACAATTTCCTATTTTTTTCATATCAACATTGAATTTATGCAAAATTTATAAGATTGATATTGATACTTTTTGAGATTTCTATATTTATTTGCATGATCGATCTAGCTCATGAATCATTGGTCCAAATTCAATGCTACAATTACTGCGGTCTCAGTATGGTATTAGTACTGAGATGAGCATTATTTTAAAATAACAACGAAATATTCGTACAACTTTTTGATTGGTTGACAAAAAAAACATATTTCATACAGTGGAAAATTTGGACCACTGATAGATTTCCATATCGTTGGTAGAATTTTTTATTATTGTAATAAATTTTTCAAAAACTTATCCACGAGTAATTTTAGACCACTTTCAAAAATTTGGACCACTACCAAAAATCCTACCAATGACCCGGAATTCTGTCGAATTCCTGGTCATTGGTAGGATTTTTTATTGTTACTAAATTTTTCAAAAATTTATCCGGTGGAAAATTGGGACCACTATCAAAAATTTATCCAGTCGAAAATTTGGATTCAATTTTTAAAAAATTTACTCAGTTGAAAATTTTGATATTTAATATAATTTTGAAGCATTCGTAGAATTTTCGAATTATTAATAATTATTAATTATTAATTATAGCAGAAAATCCTTAGGAATAATTTCAAAAATCTTTTTTGAATAATTTGAAATGATATAAATTTGGATCAATGGTAAAAACTTGTTTCATCAAGAATTTAATCATTTAAAAAAAAATTTGCATACTGAATAATTTGATTGAAAATTTATAGCTTTGATAGAATTTTTTTATAATCACTAAATTGTAAAGAAATTTTATCCATCAAGTAATTTTTGGTTCAGTGGTTGAAATTCAGATTATTGATAGTAGAAATTTTCATAATTAATAGAATTTTTTACTGATTGATAAATTTTTCAAAAAATCTATTTAACTGTTGATTAAATTTTTAGTGCTAGAAATTTGGATCACTCGTGGTAGAAATTTTTACTACTGTCATAATTTTTTGTTTATTTCTTAATTGTAAAATTTTTAGCTCAAGGAACTTTGATTTTTGTTAGATAAAATAAATAAATAAATAATTTGCACCATTGGTGAAAATTTGAAATTCAAATTGTAAACATTTGTATCATGAGTAGTCAAAATTTTTATCATTGTCAGTACAAATTTTTATTACTGGTACAAGAACTGTTTAAATAATTAACAGCACTTTTTGGATCACGAACCAAAATTGTTCTTCCATTTTCAATGAAAATTCTCTGATCATCAGTAAAATCAAAATAATTTCCTAGAATTTTTGCATTAATGATTCAATTTTCGGATCGTGATTAACAACAATCAGCGATTATTCAGCACCTTTGGAGCAAATTTTGGTCCTTTAGTGCGTAACATCTGCTTTATTGCTCCACAACATTTGCATTCTGGGCACAATTTTATTGATCCATTGGTGCAAAATTCTGGAGCTTTGATCCACTTTTAAGCTGATTACTGTTAATACTTTAGAATCTATTATCCTACCACTTGATCATCACAAATTATTACACAATTGTTTGTATCAATATCGAATCAATTTTTACAATCAATATCATCAAAAGGAAAAATCTTTTTGATGATATTGATGATTTTGATGATCAGTTTACACATTTAATGCAAAATACAAATTTTCCGTTAATCTTCTATAAAAATTTTTCTATCACTGGTCAAATTTTTGCCACTTTATCATTGATCCAAATTTTGATATCATTTTTCTCAAAATTTCACATTATTGGTCCCAGTTTTCTCTCTATATTTACATACACGGAGAAAAGGATTGTTATTTTGTTCCAAAAATTTTGTCCTTCAAGTAATTTTTTTATCCCAACAATTTTGTTCTCCTAACAATTTTGTTATCCGAACTGTTTTGTTGTCTTCACTATTTTATTGTTTCAACAATTTTTTTTTGTACCAACAATTTTGTTGCCCGAACTATTTTGTTATCTTAACTATTTTATTGTTCCAATAATTTTTTTGTCCTAACAATTTTGTTTCCTGAATTATTTTGTTAGCTTAAATATTTTCTTCTTTCAATAATTTTGTTATCACAACTGTTTTGTTCTCTAAAAAAACTTGGTTGTTCCAAAACTTTTGCTCTCCCAAAAATTTTCTTAAGAGAATAAATATTTTAGGGCAAAAAAATTTGTTAGGAGAACATTCTTGATATCAAAAAAACTGTTCAAACACTAAAAAATTTTTGCAACAACAAAAAGAAATTCGTTAGATCAATATTATCAATTCTTTTCTCCCTGCATGTTCTTTCTTTTCTCCCAACTATCGCCTGATTGATCATGTTCGAATTGCACTAAACAGAGCAAAAACGAAAAAAAAACAGGAAAATATTTGTATACCTCTTGAAATTGGGAAATAGTTGGTACCACCATTCATTTGAGCAAAGATATTGAAGTGAACGAATCATTTTTCATTTTATCAGAAGTTATATAGAGGAGATTAAAGTTGAACATACGGATCCAACTATTTTTGCCATATATGTATATACAAATATACACAAAAATATAAAGAGATCAATTTATTATTTTCGTATACATATATATAAAACGTATATATTTATCAAACGAAACGAATTCCTTGAAAGGATGAAGAATAATAGAAAATCTTACTTTGTAGATTTGGGAATTGGAGATCAGGTTGTACCATACACCGACTACGTTCTCCGGGAAATCCCCCACGCGAATCACCGGAAATACGATCGTCGGTCAGGTTACAAACGTCGGCGATTTTAATTTCACTTTATATATATATACACATATATAGATATAAAAATATATTTATAGTCCAATAATTCTTTTACCCTTTTTTTTACATTCTCATTTTTAAATATAAATAAATTCGAAATATTTTTCTCTGATAAATATTATGCGAAAAAAGAAGCTCGACGTTTGCAACTTGGACTCGTACGGACCCATATCACCCTTTCAAGTCTAGTATCTTACTATTAATTAATTATTATTATTATTATTAATTATTATTATTATTATTATTATTATTATTAATTATTACTAGAGTATTATTATTATTATTATGAAAATTATAAATTCATTTTAAGAGAGATACAGAGGAAAAATAAATGATGCTTTTGTCAGTAAAACCAAATCACGGCACTAGATTTCATTTGATCATAACCCTATCCCAAAATCGTTGAAGAAAAAGAATAATAATGAAGAAAAGTGGAAAAAAAATAAGGAATGAAAAAAATTCGGTCGTCTCGCGTTTTTTATTGCTCGTCGACGAATAAATAAGCACTTGTCAAGAAATATGAGAATTTTTTTTTGGGCTACAACGAAGTCTCCTCGCTTGACCCTTGCTCTTGTCACTGCTGTTTCTCATCGATGATGATGATGATGATACGACAACTTCTTGGACTCGCAGCTCCCGTCGCAGAATGAAGACATCATCAATCACATCGGATGTGGGGACCTTTGACTATTTATGCACAAAACTTTTCCGAGATCCTTTGCCAAAAAACGTAAGTCTCCTCTGAACTCCACTTCATGGGATTCAATTTTGCTTTTATATAATAAAATAAAAAAAAAAAAGAAACGAAAAAAAACCCCGTCCCTTCTGTGTAATAAATGTATACCAAAAAAAAAAGAAAAAGAAATGGAAAAAATGAAATGAATATCTATAAGGAAATTTTAATTTCTCATTATTTAATTGTAATAATTTATCGTAATGAATAAGTAAATTGTAATAAATGATAAATAACTGAATTCGAGTAAATAATATTATTTTTTTTAATTGTTATTATTATTTCCATTATTATTATTATTTTTTTTATTTTTATTATTATTATTTTCATTATTATTATTATTTTTCTTATTATTATTATATTACCACTATTAACTCGAAAGTATCAGATTGCAACGAATTGATACCAAAAATGTGAATTAAATCATAAATTGATCTAAATTTTTGGTATCAATTTAATTCCATTTCGTATCGAATTGATACTTTCAAGAAAATTGTGTTTATATTATTATTATATATTAATAATACCTAATTATTGTTTATATTTATTGTTTATTTTTATTTATTATTGTTTTATAAAAAATGTAATTTATTTAATTATATATTTCGCCTTACTTATTTCGGAAACAATTACTTGATTTATTGAGAATTTTCTTCATTTCAGAAAAATTTGTTTCTTTACAAAAATTAGAAAGAAAAATTTACTAATGCGATTTTTGTAGGGGAACATAGTCTAGGTCGGCCACCTTTTTGACTTTTGTTTATAACTTTTTTTTAAAAATGAATTTGGACAATTGAAGTATATGGTTGGAAAGTCCTGTTTAATAGGAACATTTTTTCTGTACAAAGTAAATTGACAGGTTTAAAAATGAAAAAGTTATAAAGATTTAAAAAAAAAAAAATTTGTAGTCCAGGTTAGCCATTACAGTCAAGGTCGGCCATGTTTAAAATTCAAAGGGCATTAATCGTTAAAAAATAAAATAACATGTTTGGAGTTACGGAAAATTGATTCTTTATTGTTTACAGTTTGTAACTTAATGAAATAACAAAATAATAACAATAAACAATATAAAAAAATAAATATAAATAAAAAAAAGTTTTGCACTAAAATATTAATAAAATTAAATAAAAATATTAATAAGATGATCAATTATATTATGAGTTATACAGAATTGCAGTTTTTGCAAATGAAGTAGCTCGTCCTCAACTTTGCGCATTTTAAACACATAGTGGCCGACCTTGACAGTAAGTAACATTACCGAATTGTTGTAACCATAAAGAAATACGTTTCGGGATTCGATTTTTTACTTTGTTTTCCTTTCAACCATGAGTCCCACAAATTTTCTGCATACTTGCCTTGACGATTCAATTTGTTTTTTATCTTTTATTAATGGTTTTTCACATTATGCACAAAACTTTTTTTGAGCTTTTTTTGTACCGACGTCACAGAAAACACAATTTTCGATTTTCCGAAAATGTAATTGAACAAAAAGTTAGGTTTCACTAAGACAAGCTTCGACAAAAATGCGCGTAGGTGGCGCTAGTGAACTTGACAAAAAAACGCGAGTGGCCTACCTAGACAGTAGGCCAACCTTGACTACATTCCCCTACATAAATTTTTATTTTTTATTCAGCATTTTTAAGTTAAAGAGAAAAATTTTCAACTCCTCATTTGTTCCTGATTATTTTTTAAATACACAGGAAATTTATTTCCTGTCTTATTTTCATTTTTTTTCCTGAGTAAATTAATTATTTATTTATTAAAACGAGTTATTTATTTATTTACACGCGTCATTCATTTATTTACACGTGTCATTCATTTATTTATTTATTTACTTAAATAGGTTATTTATTTATTTAAACATAAAGATAATTTGATAAATAATTGCTATAAGAATTGGTAATAATTGCAAATAAATAATTACAGTTAATTATTACGATTAATTGATGAGACTTTCTAGTGAGATAATATTATTAAAAAAATAGAGGTAATATTATTAAAAAAAAGAGGTAAGATCGCTGACTTCAATACTTAATTGAAAAGAGGTAATATTATTAAAAAAATAAAGGTAAATTATTATAAAAAAAACCTTATGACAATGATAAATTATCAATTAATTATTCAATAAAAATAATTATCACTTTTTTCGAAAAAAGTAAACATCCAAATTCTAAAAGAAAAAAAAATTATGTCTAAAAAATTTTGAACTTTCAAACGAACGAAATATTTTTTAATTATAAATATTTTCAAATAATTACCGATTGCAGTATAAAAATAAAAAAATGTAAATTAAATAGTTTGAAACTTTGTAAATTATTTTCTAATACGTGATTCAATGTTAAATTTACTAAAATTTGATCTTGAAAGAAAAAATAAATAAATTTCGTTCATTTGAACATTAAAAACTTTTGGGACATAAAAAATTTTATCAACTTCAGTGACAATTATTTTCAGTTTCACGAGTTTCCAGGTTTGTTCACTGATTGTCATTAAAGTTAATGAATCACTTTAATTGTTAATTAAATTTTTTTCCAAACAAAAATTTCTCTATAATTTTAAATATTTTTAAATATTTCTAAACTGAAATAAATTTAAATTAGAAATCGGAAATTTTAATTTGAAATTTTAATTTGAAATTTTAATAAGAAATTAATTAATAATTAGTTTATAAATTTTATAAACATGATTATTGTAAAAATATTTTACAATTTGGGAAAAAAATTCAACAAACCGAAATTTTGACACAGAAAATACTAAACAGTGAAAGAAATAATATGAAATTTAATAAAGTTATATATTAAAAATTTACTAAAATTCTTATATTTGATATAATCATATTAAATTTTACATTAGTTTTTTTAAAGTTTAGTACTTTTTATATAAAAATTTTTCTTTGTCACATTTTTTCTCCAAATTGTGAAATACTTTTAGCAAATTTAATATAATTTCCTCGAAGTGTATTTAAATTAAATAATAATTTCTAATTAAAATAATAATAATCAAATTAAATTTTTTAGTACTTTTTCATTTAAGCTTGAGTAAGAAAACTAAAAAAAAAAAAAATAATAAGACTATAGACTACTGAACAGAATAGTCGAATTGTACAAACAATTTTCTAAAATTTGAATTAGAAAAAGTTGCCTAATTAAAATTAGTTAAAATTCTACTAATTAATAATTTTTTACTAAGAGTTGAGTAAAATAAAAATAAAGATTTTAAATAAATTAGTTAATTTCTAATACCAATTCTCTAGTTAAATTTTTGAATTGAAAAGATCCTAAAAAATACAGAAGATAGAAATACAAAGAAATACAAAAACAAACAGATTATAATTATGTATAATAACAGTTACTACTAATTATTACTATTATTCTTGCTAATAAAAAACTCATTTATATTTATTATTATTATAAAAAACAAATAAAGAAAAATTTCTAAATTATAATTATTGTTATTAAACAAATTTCATTAATTTAATTTCATTAAAAAAAATTTCATTCAAATCGTTATGAAAAAGAAAGTAAAAAATGCACTTATTGTTAATATATAATTAATTAATTAATTTATTTATTTACAAATATATAAAAATATATAAAAAGAATTTTAAAAAATTTCCTTATAACAATAAGCGAACTTTTATAAAAAGAGAAGTATAAAAAATAAATTTATTGTTATTATAAAAAAGTATAAAAATTTACTTATCGCTATTAAAAAAAATAAAGTAAAGAAAAAAATTTGAGAGACAATTAAAGACCTAGTTTTTGGATGCGAAAATGAATCAAACTATGAAAAAAAAAAGTTTGAAATTTATCATTGTCATGTTTTCATTTTAAAAATTTCAAAACCAAGTACTGAGTGGATTTTGCAAAAAAAAAAACAAGGAATCAAGATGGATCATGGACTCAATGAAAAAAAAGGGAAAGAAAAAAATGTAATTCATATAGTACTTCTTTCACAAAGAACGTAAGTGCCTAATGCAACGAATTCGCGAGGTAATAAAAAAAGAAGGAAAGAGAGAAAATGAAAGAAGGGGACGGGGTTCCTCTCTGCGTTGGTTAATATCGCACGGGCCGTTAGGTCCCGGATCCTTCGAGCCATGAAATATCCCGTCATAACATCAGCCCCCTTCCATTCTCCATGGTGCTTCGTCTCTCCCTCTTTTGAATCAGGCTCCCTATGCTGCAGAGCGCGGATGTCGGATGCACAACCACTCTCACGCTGAGATGTCATTGAGAAAGGTTTGTATTTCTAAATGATCTGAAACGAATCCTCCAATTTTTCTAAACCTTCACTGGCAAAACTAATATTCAAGTCAACTACTTAAACCTCCAAGAAAACTGCTTTATTTTTATTTTCCCTTCGTTTTAAATTCTCGATTTTTTTCTTTTTCTTCATCATTTTTATTTTTTTTATTTCATTACAAAGAAAAGCAAACTAAAAAAAATTAGGAAACAAAATATCTTTTCTCTCTAAATCTGAATTAGAAAATAACTAATTACACGGAGAAAAATATAAAGTAACTTTTACTATTTTTATAGTAAAATATTTCTGGTAACTTTTACTATACTTTTGGAGTAAATTTTGCTACGTTCGAAGTAAAATTTACTACTTTTGTACAAATGTGTTCATTGAACGTAGTAAAATTTACTTCAAACGTAGCAAAATTTACTCCGAAAGTAGTAAAAGTTACTAGAAATATTTTACTACTATAAAAGTAGTAAAAGTTACTTTATAATTTTTCTCCGTGTAGTAAAATTTTGGCTGACTTTTTGCTTCAGCAATTAGTAAAAAATTACTAACTATTAGTAGAAAAATACTAATTATAAGTAGAAAAATATTAATTATTAGTAGAAAAATACTAATTATTAGTAAATAAATAACTATAAAAATAGTCAAATTTTAATTAAATTAGTTACCAAAACTTTCAGTTATTTTTACATAACGTAAAAGTGAATTCAACTAATAATTAGTTATTAACTATTTTATTAGTAAACTTT